ATTAGGCCAGGCTGTCAGGCCAGGGAGTGCTGTGATCTGCCTCTTTGCTTTGCTGGCACTAGGATTACAAGTGTTTGCCTGACCTTTTTACATGTGTTTTGGGGATTGGACATAGGTCCTTGTGCTTACCCAGCAAGCACTGTACCAACTGAGCTGTTGCCCCAGTACCTAGGTTCTCCTTACTTAGGAAATCCTACTGGGAGAATAGTGCTCATGTTACTGTTTTTGAGTAGTACTGAATAGGGATTAAGGGAGTATTTTGTGATTGTAAACTGTGGTTGTCACTAGAATGAAATGGTTTCAAATAGCACAGAAATGCATAAAAAAGCAGGAAAGACTTGTCTATAACCCGATATTAAAAAAGTAAAAATGCTATTTCGTAAGGTTTTTTTTTTTTTTTTTCTTTTCCAGATTTTATGGTTAGACATTTTGTTTTGCTTGCTTGTTTATCTTGAGACAGGGCTTCCTATAGGTAGCCCAAACTGCTCTCAAATTTACCATATAGCTCAGGCCGGCCTTTACTTGTGATTCTTTCAATACTGTTGTCAAGTATCACTATAGACATCTCACTTTCCGTTGTAGACCATTGTTTCCATTACATGTATGCTAGTTTTGATCAAATTCATACTGCTTTAAAAGGCATTTTCAAAAATTTGATGGGCCAGTGAGATGCTCAGTGGGTAAAGGTGTTTGGCACCAAGCCTGGCACCCTGAATCCAATCCCTGGAACCCAGTGAGCTGACTCCCATAAGGCATCACCTGATTTGCACACGCATCCCATGGGATGTGCATGCTCAGTTCATTTACAAGCACATAGGAAGTGAGTGTTTACAAACCTAGTGCTTGTCAAGTATGTTGAAGTAAGCTCCAGCTGCCCTGTCACTGGAGAGTAAACTGGTGTGCGCTGCTGTTGCACTGCTCGTGTCTGCTGGCTAGTTTCTGTCCGTTGAACACAGCAGAAGCCATCTGCGAGGAGGGAGCCTCAACTGAGAAAACACTCCCATAAGGTTTTCTGCGGGCATTTTCTTAACTAGTGAAAAACGCTCCCATAAGATTGTCTGTGGGCTTCTCAAATTAGTGATTCATGGGAGAGTGCCCAGACCATTGTGCTGGTCAATCTGGGTTCTATAAGAAAGCAGGTTGAACATGTCATAGGGAGCACCCCTCCATGGTTTTTGTTCAGTTTCTACTTCCAGGTTTCTAGCCTGACTTGAGTTCCTTTCCTGACTTCCTTCAGAGTGATAATAGACCATGGTGTGGAAATATAAGCCAAATAAAGCCCTTTTCTTCCCAGTTTGCTTTTGCTCTTGGAAACCCTAACTAGGACAGTATCATTTTCTTTTTAATTTCATGTGGATGATCTTCTTGGCCTTTGTGATTCATTTTATATGCAATGACTCTGTATATTTTGCCCATTCATCAGGCATGCAGATGTGCAACATTCTGAAGAACCTGGGTGTGATGACCCTTCTTCAGTTTGGTACCGTGCACAGAGTGCTTTAACAATAGGAAGTCTTATCGATCTGTGACCTGCCACTGCTAAAGTGTTAAAAACTGATTTTTTTTTCCATAATTACAACTATGAGTTTATAATTGCTTGAAAAGTGATACGATTATGTACTTATTGATTTCATGAAATTTTGTTTGGCACATAATGTTTCTGAGAAGGTTCAGTTTAAAAAACATCAACCTTCTACACATGGAAGTCTCAATTTTAAAAGATCTGTTTTAAAGTTGCATAAGCATAGGCCAGTGCCAAAAATTTATTGATTAGGACCCATTAATAAGAATTTGAGTGGGTATGCCTTTAATCCCAGTACCTATGAGGCAGATGCAGTCAGATCTCTGTGAAAAACCAAAAATAATAAATTTAAATAATTTTGAGTGTAGAACTGATGTATTGCTTTGTTAAATGAGTCATTTTAGCTTCTGAATGGAAAAGAAATTGGAAGCCTATTGCCCTTTGTTAAAGATAAAGCTTAAGTCAGGGTAGGTTCAAGTCTTGTCTAAAGTTACAAAGCTGGTACTGGGAGGTGGAACTCTGGAGGCCTGAACTTGGCCTTTTCTGTCTACTATATTCACTAATGTACAGCTTGTAGATTACATCTGCCTGATCCTTAAACCTGAATAGTCTCTGATTGTCACACACACATATTTACACAGTTACACACACTTTGCAAGTCTAGTATTGACTTAACAGTTGCTGGATGCTTGTAGTGAAGCACAGTGAGTGCAGATCATCTTACCAATAGGGATAATGGAGATTAATACATGCATTTACCTATTTATTCATATATATATATATATATATATATATATATATATATATATTGGTTTCTTGAGACAGGGTTTCTCTGTGTAACCTTGGCTTTCCTGGACTCATTTTGTAGAACAGGCTGGCCCTGAACTCACAGAGATCCTTCTGCCTCTGCCTCCTTGAGTGCTGGAATTAAAGGCGTATACCACCATGCTCGGCAACTAAAAAGCCATTTTTATATGAGTATTAAAATGATTTGATATTAAATGGAAGTTTGAAAAGAAAGAAATCTGATGATTGGTCTGCTCTAGGCTAGAGTTACCTTATGTGTATGATTGTGTGTATGCATTTGGGATTCTGTGTGGAGGTCAGAGGCCAACTGTGCCAACTTTGTGCTTCGCTTTTACTTGGGTTCTGGGGAGTCATCAGCAAATGTCTATCTATCCATTTAGACACCTAAGTTTTAAAATCCTTTTTTTTTCTCTGTGTGGTTTTTAAAGTGACATGTTCATGTGTAACATTGTAGTTCAGGTTAATAACTTAATCATAATGCTGAAAATTTTCTTTTTTATGGTTTAACTACTTAAATACCTGGATAATAAAGGTAATGATTTTGTGGCAATATCAGTAACACAACAAATAACCATCCTGACTTTACTAATTTATTATACTAAGTCTTATATAAAGTGCTTTATATTACTCATCTTATTGATGGGAAAAATCTCAATTCATTTTCCTCATTTAATGACTCCTATCTCAGTGAGACAATTCCTATTTTTATATACAGTTTAATGGTGAAGCTCTCAGTGTGGAGGGGTTTAGTGACTTGCCTGAGGTTCCATCGCTAGTAATTTAGTGCTGCTGTTGGAGTCTAGGTCACCCAGCTCCAGAGCCTCGAGTCTGGTCTTATATAAGCCACTGCTGGAGGACCCAGGGGAACCTCACAGGAATTATACTGCCATTGCTCTCTATGTACTGTCACTCATGAGCTTCTGCAAGGTGGAAGTCCTGCACCGTTAAACTTTCTGGCTTAGTAACAGCTGAATTCCTGTTTCAGAATTTTTGAATTTTTCAGCTTTTTGTCCCATTCTTGAGTTTCTGTTATCGTGTAATATTTACTTTAAAACGTTCCTGAGTTGTCTCTGTAAGTCAAGGTAGTCCTAGGGAAAACGTTTACTGTATCCTTTAACATTTTAGAACTGCAGCGTACATTTTCCATTCTCATGTTCTCTATTCGTTCACTTTCTGTTTTTGAGTTATGATCATGTTATGTATACCTAGCTGGACTGACACTTGGCAGTGTTAGTCTGGTTAGCCTCAAGCTTGCATCAGGGGTGCCTCGGTCCCTTGGTGCTAGGATAGCACCATCATGCTAGCCAAGACTGAATTTCAGTGTTCTCTCAGTGTCAGAAGACTATTGATATTATTGCTGTGATCTCTTTATTGACTGTGACATTATTTATAGTGTCATTTTGATAGCATAGATTAGGTTATGTTATAAATAAATAAATAATTATTATATAATTGTATATAATTATTATTAGCCTTAAGATTATCACAGTGGTAATATTTAATGTTTTATCACAAATAAGAAGACACAGACACCTGTTAGATTTTATAATTGCCTTATTTACCTTGGGCCAGACAGATTTTCCTACCTATGCTGTGTAAATAACCATCTCCCAGCCCCCATCCAATGCCATCCACCTTAATCATCCTCATCTGGACCACCTTTCATACATAATCCCTTGGTACTTGCTTGTATTCTTCATCTGGGCCTTTTCACGCCTTCAGTGGAGCCCTTTCAACCCATGTTTGTTTTTTTTTTTTTTCCTCCATGCTAACCCATCATGGCATCCTCCTTCCTCCTCTCTGCCCTTTCTTCTGTCTCCTGTGATTCTCTTGTCCCAGAAGCCCTGGAACCTTAGCCACCCCTCCCCCATTCTTCCCTGCCCTGGTGTAGGCCATTTAATCAACCAATCAGGTATGTCTTAGGCAGGTTTACACAACAAGGATAGGTGTAACCAGATCTTGAGGACCAGTAACACGCATCAGATCAACCTCCAAGGCTATTTCAAGGTCTAGTTGGTCCTCAGATGCGTTGATAGGAAGAAGTTGCGTACATCGCAGCTGACGTAGGTGTTGTAGGTGGAATCTTAAAATCACAGTCTGAAAACAAGCAACAAAGGAGGCTGTGGGTAATACATGGAATGCAGATCTGGCTCAGGGTGTGCACATTAGGATATAGACTCGGGAGTTAAGAGCTTTGCAGTAATTCTCAGTGTTTTATAGCTCACATACATATTTTTTTTCTTATAAAAGTATCTCTAATGATAAGCAGAAATCATGCGTATTTAGGACTCCTGGGGACCAAAACCAAAAGTTTCAATTTTTCAAAATTTTTCTTGAAGTTTGCCTTTCTATACCTATGTCTCATTATATCAGTAGCCCTTTTAATATGGACTATTTTCCCTGTAATTTGATTATCATGAATAGTATGAAGAAGAAATGCCTCAAGATAATTTGAAGAGACCTCTGCCAGGTCTGGGATGTTTAAGAGTAACACGTAACTAAAATGATTTGGTCACTGAGGTGGGAAGTTGGGATTAAAAAGGGCTGTGGTAAAAGTACAAGTGTAGCGTTATACTGCCAGGCTTGTGTCCTGAATATAGAGCAGGTAAATGTGCTGGATCCAAATGGTGAAGACAGTGTTCTAACTTTAGACTTCTTCTTTGAATTTTAGTTACTGACCTCCTCTACTGGAGAGACATTAAGAAGACTGGAGTGGTGTTTGGTGCCAGTTTATTCCTGCTGCTGTCTCTGACAGTGTTCAGTATTGTGAGTGTAACAGCCTACATTGCCTTGGCCCTGCTCTCTGTGACTATCTGCTTTAGGATATATAAGGGTGTGATCCAGGCTATCCAGAAATCAGATGAAGGCCACCCATTCAGGTGAGATGTCTGAAAACAACAAGAGTGTGAACAGGATTGCTGTTAAGATTTCCATCTCCTAGCTGAAGGATTATAGGCATGTGCTTTCTTTGTTGTGTAGAGGTAATTATATTAGGAGCATCTGCCTTTGAGATTCCTTATGGTAGAAAAGACTGGACTTCTTCATTATTAGTTTCTGGTTATCACAGTGGATTTTAGGGCTGGTGAGTTGTTATCGTCTTCACTGTTTGCATTTAATACGGTCTAATACTGTACACCGTTTTCCGTTGCCCTCCCCAATATATGTTCGCACCTACACTTGGCCTCAGTTTCTCAGGCTGTTACTTGGAGAGGGGAGACATGGTTTTTAATAACTTAAAATTGGCCACAAACCATTAATTGGCAAGTATGATTTTAAAGCAGTCATAATGAAATATGAAAACTTCTAAATTGTCCACAGTATTAGTTTTATGTATCATTTCGTTTTAAAGTGTTTCATATTTCTTTTTAGACATACCTTTCTCAAAAGGCATTTTAAGTCAAATTTTCTATACAAATTCAGCTGACATGCCAGTTCTGGCCTGTTGAACAGTTTTCAGTTGCCTGCTCATTGGTACAGGTGGAATTATGCAGTTCCCCCACCTGTGGTGAGCGGGAGCAGTGATGAACAGTGTGCTATATGTCAGACGCTGACACAGGGTGTTCTCTGTAGCAGGACCAGCAGCCGTGCTGCAAAGAACAGGGTCCCAGAGTTTCCTCAGCCAGATTTTTATATTTGAGAATTGTGTAGACAGGGCTTACAAGATGGCTTTGTGGATAAGACTACTTGTTGTGAAAGCAGGAGGACTCACCTGAGTTTTGACTCATAGCACCTACATAAAACTGGTGGATAACTGTCACCCATGTGTTGGGGGTCGGAAGCAAGTGGATCCTGGGAGCTTGCTGCTGGCTAGCCAAGGCAAAAATAGCTTCTCATGCACCCACACACACATGTGCACATGCCAACCACACATATAGAATCGCATAAATAACTTATTGCTGGTTTAACAGTTGATGGGAAACTTTGAATGTTTTAATTTGATATTAATGACATTGGTATACCAGTGTTTTAATACTATTGGACTAGTAAAGAAATATTCTCGATTCCAGTAATAGTCTGTGTTTAAGTAAGAGAACTATGATGTCTGTATTCAAAGCTGGATGTGGTACAAAATAATGTGGAAAAAACCATTGTTTTTTTAGTATAAAGGACTAGCAGATTACACCGGGGTCTTAGGCAGCCTATCTGATGAGGCTGTGTCTGGGCGGGATCTGAAATGAGGCTGGTTCCTGATACAAGTTGTCACCAGGGGTAGGAAGTGAACTTTGCTTTAGAGAATAGCATGGTGACCAAGGCATTATGGTTAAAAAAAAAAAGTTTAAAATGACTCCTTTCCATCTTCAACATAGGGAGCAGTGGGAAGATTAGCAAAATTAGGTGAGCTCTCTGTTTGAAAAGTTGGAAACTGAGTAATACAGTGCTTGAACTGGAAGTGATCTAAACGTCTCTATCTAATTTATAGAGTTGGAAATCTGACCCAGAGAATTTAATTTTCCCCCCAAGATTATTTAGCTGGAAAGTAGCCGATCTTCTAATGTCCACATGAGTTCAACCCAGACTCTGCTATTTTAGGAAGCTCAGATAAGGCTAATCTGGCATTGACTGAGAGAATAGATTAGGCTAGATTAGAAACAGGCTTGGACACTGATAGAATATTTCAGTGTGCAAATAACAGCTACTTAACAAGAGTGATGCAGGAGACATGTTTTGGGTGTGTTGCAAAGGTAGGAGTATGAGGCAGGGCAGTCTCAGAAGACACATGTGGGAAAATAGGATTAGTTTGGATATGGTGCTTCAGATAGAACAGTTTAGCTAATGACTACCTCTAAATTATCTTTTTAAATTTAACACTTCCCGCTACATTAGAACATAAAAACAGAGTAAATATTATGTTTCTTGGTATTGCCACTGTACTTTTGACAGCTATTTTGCATGCTAGTATTTAACATTTTTTACAGTTTTCTATAAAGGCAATGCTGAGAGAATGTGGAAATGAATAGAGTCTTTGGTAGCAGAATCTAATGAGACAATGTACTTTTCTTAGTGATTTGGAGGTGAAACTGTGTTAAACACTTTACTCATTAAATCCTCAGAATAACCTCTATTTTAAATGAGGAAGCAGGTTTAGAAGATTAAGTTTGTAAAAGCAGATGACTAAGAAAATAATAGCACTTTAAAAGCATGCTTTTACTAAGACATTTTGGCTTTGTTTGAGCTAGGGTTTCGGTCTGTAGCCCAGGTGGGTGTGGAACTAGCAACAGCCCTTTAGTCTTGGTCTCTCAGGTGCTGGATTACAAATACGAGCCACACGGCCTTCTAGCTTACTTGGGACTGTCATGGTAAGAGTGGGCCTTTGTGGTAGGTTGTTAGAGATGGAATCTCCTTTTTTATAGATCTGTGGTTGCTGATTGACATTGGGCTCAGTGGCAATTATGATCTGTATTGTTTTCTTAGGGCATATTTGGATTCTGACGTTGCTGTATCAGAGGAATTGGTTCAAAAATACAGTAATTCTGCTCTTGGTCATGTGAATAGCACAATAAAAGAACTCAGGCGCCTCTTCTTAGTTGATGATTTAGTTGATTCCCTAAAGGTAAGTTTGACATTTTACTTCTGACATTTTATAAATATATATAACATATTATAGTGTGTGTATATAGACTTTAATGTCAGAAAGATTAGCAATATAAAATTCTATATTTCTATATTCAAATAAGCCATGAAGATGTAAAGAAATCACATGAATGTAAATTTAGGTTTTAAAATTCAAGTGTCCAATGTTTAGACTTGTATGAGAATTATAGTTTGTTCCTTTTCTCCTTAAAGAAAAATACTTTTAGAAAGAAAAATGGATACAAAATTTATATGATTGTGAGTTTTACAAATCCAAAGGTTAAAAAAAGTGGGTTGGTGACTTTTTCAGCTGGAAGGTCATGCTTCATCATGTCAGCACACACAGGTCTCAAAATCTGCTTAGACAAAAGAGTAAGACAGAATGCCTTCTCCTCCTTTAAAGGTGACAGACAGCAAGCATGCCATCGTTCAGGTGTACACGCTACAGGCAAGGTCTTCCTGAGTGAACTGTGTGATTCCACTACATGAGAATTTGTTCTCTGCATGTTACTGTGTATGGGTAGCACAGATTCCATCTGATTATTTCCACTGTCTAAGTATATTTTATGAGCCCAGGCTATTTGTTTAAAACTCTCCTACTTAAAAAGAGAACTTGAGCAGTCTTTTTATAAAGACTCAAGTGGTTATGGCCTGGGCCTGGTGACACATGCCTTTAATCCCACCACTCCGAAAGCACAGTTGAGGGGCCTCTGTGAGGTCAAGGCTAGCCTGCTTTACACAGTGTTCGAGGCCACCCAGGCCTACATAGTAATGCCTTGCCTACCTCAAACAAACAAACAGATAAAATAAATAAAGTAAATTAAAATAAAATATAGCACTGAGGTGGAAGGATCAAGATTTGGCGACAGTGTCACCTCTCTAAAGACACTTCTGCACGCTGACTTCATGTGTATGTCATGTTACCGTCATGCTTCTCATCTCCGTGGAAAAGCAAATGGTTTTTTCTGGGAGTGGGCTCCTAATTGGAATTCTTAGGAAAAAATAGTGATAGATATCAGCTTTTGACTGCAATTGCTTTGATTTCTAGTTTATAAAATGGAAACATTTTAATTTCAAGAAAACAAATTGTCGTTTCATAGTAGACAAGCTCTGTAGCTTTGACAAAACAGCTCTTAAAGAAACATTCGAAAACAGTTCATGTAATTCACTGTCTTCAGAAAAGCCAGCTTTCTTTGGTGTCCTTAGTTTATAGAATGTACATTTTTAGATCTAGGTCGCAGTTAGCACTCATGCGAAGCCTTCCTCTAAAATAGAAAATTAGAGTCACTCTTGCTTGTGACAACACTCCCTCCCCATTTCCCACTCTGCTTAAATTCCTTTTCTTCCCTTCCCCTGGTATAAGGGAAGAGTTTATTTCAGTTGTCATCCAAGAAATGATCCAATTCCAGGACTCTGTAGTCAGTGCCTGAGATGAGCTGGCAATATACATGTACCGGATTTATTGACTTGGACAAATGAAAACAGGACATGTTGTTGTTACAGATTCCTCTAACTTCTTGTGTGATTGTTCTATTTGTTTTGCTCCTCTGAAGTTAATTTTAAGATTTTTAATCCTAGACAAGACTTCAAGTGTCTACAAAATGATCAATAGTCCATTTTCTAGTTGGAGTATGGGCCAAAAAAAAAAAAAAAAATCAATACTTCTTAATCCATTATGAATGTAGCTCAGACATTAAACACTGTAAGCATTTTAGGCCTCTTTATTCATTTTAAGACATTGGGTCTGACACTGCTGCAGCGTTACCCAGGCTGCCTCTAAGCTTCTGCTTCTGCTGGAGCCAGAGATTGGGGTACCGGTGTGTGTCGCCCAGTGCTGTGGCAGGAGCATTTTCTGCCTGCTTAAGGGTTAATTCAGCTTTTGTGATTTAATCTGTGTGAGGGCAGTTTTCAGCCATGGCTATACATTGGAGTTGTTTATATGAGTTGGCATATTTTATGTATATTTATCTGGGAAGGTGAAGGAACTGGAGTTCCCTGAAGTTTTGGCTTAATTTCTCTGATAACACTGAATGGAGGATGGCTGTTTTAGAAGGTTATGACATTAGTTATAAAGCCCTGTTTGTCCCTATCTCTAGTTTTAAAAATAAAGTATATCATACCTGCTGAGGTCATCTTTGGCACCCCTGGAGGTAGGCTTAAAGCTTTAATAGAAAGTTCCCATCTTGTAAGCCAGGCATGTGCACATGAATCCCGTCCTTGTGTGTGTGTTCCTCACCTTGTTTCACTTTATTGCTGTTTGCTTCTGTGGGTTCGGGATACTTAGGAGGCTGAAGCTGAGAACCACTTGAGACCAAAATTACACTATCTCTACAAAGGTGTGTGTGGGGGTGGTGCCTTACCCTTTGAAACACCAAATCCAAGAAATGGTTATTTAATAGGGACTGAACCTGGGCATTTTCAGTGGGTTCTTATGTGTCTGTAGCAAAGCTTTGGGTGATAAAGACTAGATTTTATAAGATACTGGCTCTGTGACTTTGAGTAAACAATTGTTCTAGCTGCAGTTGCCTGATATGCAACTATAATGTTACAGGATATGATTTTTTAATTTTTTTTATTGATTCTTTGTGGATCAGCTATTCTTTGTAAATTTCACATCATACACCCCAGTCCCACTTGTCTTCCTGTCCCTTCACATCTGCCCTCTGCCTTTGCAACCTCCCCCCAAAAGAAAATAAAAAACAAATTGAAAAAAAGATACAGTTTGCCCACATTTTGTCACATACTTGCATTGAAATGACTCATTGGTCTGTTTTGAGGCCCCTGGCCTCTGCTACACCATCAATACATTATTTTTACTGGGACTCCTTCCTTAACAAAGCCCTTTGTTGCCTGGGTTATGGAGATGCTGCAGCTTTGGATCTGCAGGACTGGTCCTTTCAAGTGCTCCAGCAGTTCATAGATGAGGTAGATTTGGGGGTGGGCCAACTCAGAGTCCTGGATCTGGGCCTGGGTGGTAGCTGAGCTGGTCAGCCCGCCAGTTCTCCTGCACCCGCACCACCAGGGCAAGCTCTCCAGCTCTGTCCCAGCTAGCTCACCCAAACATGCAGCTGCCATTGCCAAAGACAGCAAGGGACAGGGTCAGCTTCCTGCTCTCAGGCTCACTTGCCTGGCTCACCCGCACCCAGGTCATGAGAGCCAGCTTTACTGTGCTGCCAAGTCAGGTAAGGAACCCACTCTCCTGAGTGCTGAACCTGGTGAGAGGTGAAGCCAGCTCTGCCACCCTCACACCTTCAGGGCTGGCTCACCTCTGCCTTTCCCATCAGGGCCAGCTTTACCACTCTCACACCCTCAGGACAAAATATAAAGCATGCCTGAGAGCATGTGCTGGCTTCTTTCTCAAGGGGCAGTTACATCTCTAAAGGTTGCCAAGAAAATACCCCTTCAATCTTGTGTTTTGTTTTTTCAGAATGTGTGGTGTGGTAGAAGTTTTGTTTTTTTTTTTTGTTTTTTTTGTTTTGTTTTGTTTTTTTTTTTTTTTAAACTCAGTTATGTAAGCAGGTTTTTGTTTTAGTCCCAAGTATAGGATATGGAACTTCCGTAGTTTGTCCACAGCTTATTGGAGAGGGGTGTGGTCTTTGCCAGCTGGAATTAGTAGAATTCTGAAGAAAGACTGGGAGAGTATAAACACCAGAGTCCAGAGAAAACACTTGAAGGGAGCTTTGAGGAGACAAACAGAGAAAGAAAGCTGCTGGTTCGCTGGATTCTAGATATCCTGTCAGCTTGATTGGAATTTTCCCAAAGAATGACAACCCTAACCAGACAAAACTTAAGTCTAAAGAGGTCTACGGTCCCCTTTCTCTTCTAACCTTTTTTTCCTCCTACCTAGGATTGGGGGGTGGGAAGGGAGGTAGAGGTTTAAGGAACCCTAAATTAAAATAGTTGTAAAAAAAAAAAAAAATAGGCGCTACAGTGTGTTGTGCATATATGCATGGCCTTCTAAGGCTAGAATTACAGGTTTGCCACCATTCCTAGCATCATGTGCGTTCCTGGGGATCTCAAGTCTAGTCCTGACACGTGCACCGTGAGCCTTAGAAGCACTGAGGCATCTTCCTATCCTCTCCCCGCTTGACATTGTTCACAGGTGTAAGTTACAACAACGAGAAATGCTGCAGAGTTTTTTCTGTGAACCAGGTTGTATGGTGGCTTTATGGTTGTATGGTGGCTTTATGGCATTGTTTTGGGAGTGCTGGTGTCAGGCGAGTGTTGGCCCAAGTAAGCAGTGTATTTACTGTCCTTGATGTCTTTGGGAAATAGACACTGTCCCAATGGTGCCTGAAGGTTTCTCTGACAGGGGAGCCAGACCTAGGATGAAAGGCCTTTATTTCCCATGCTTTGTATATGCTGTTTTCCTGGCCTCAAAGATATTTGATGCTAAGCCTCTGTGTGTCTTAGAAGAGTCTGGCTTTAAGAGTGTCCTTGAACTTTTTGCAGAGTCTTTAATTGCTCTTCTTACAACCTTGTGAAGTGACTAATGATCAAGTTAGAGATTATAACTTTAACATGTGCTATTATGTGCATTTTACCATGGTTGCCAAAGCACTTCTAAGATGTGGAATTTTAATTTCAGTATGAGTGCCTGGCATTTTCTTACTTGGAAATTAGAATGTTGCTCTTTGTAGAGCTGCTGGTGGTTGTAGGCATTCATAGGTCTTAATCTGTAGTAAGTGTGCTTACTAGAGTTTGACTAGCTTGACTTCAGTACCCACTCGAAGTAAGCAGAGTCATTTTGTTGAGTAGATGGGAAGAGATTCTTTAGATCAAGAATAGGGAAGTGGTAGTGAAGGAGGCGCACTGCGGTTTTCAGTTTGCTGTGTTGCTGGCAACGTTGTCTGGGCCATGAAGTCTGCCGCAAAGTGCTAGGGTGTAAGACGCTGCGGAGCAAGCATACCCCAGCTTTGGACTACCTCACCCTGGAGTCTGCTTGGCATGATCTTCAACAAGTGCAGCCTTAGGAGTAAACTGAAGTGCTTTGCTTGGGTTGTCACCTGCTCCTTCTTCCCTGTGCCAAGCCCTGGGCCTGGGAGGACACCACACAGATGATGAGTTGCTTCCTGCTCTCCGTCTCTGCTGTGGAGACATCTTATCTGCAGAATCCTGAGGGGTTAGCTGGGTCCTGGACTCTGGACTCCTGTCCACCTTCTCTCTGGCTTAGCCCTTGGCTGCCTCCAGCTTGCCCTCAGCTGCTGTCCTAAATTCGCCTGTGTGTGGTCTCTGGGCTCTCAGCTGATTGGAGGGAAGCTGGTCTTCTTTCCGGCTCTGCTTGTGCTTATACGGAGGGGAAACTACAGACTTCCCTTTCCCCCTTCTTCCCTGGGTTTGTGTTTCTAAGTCCATTTACTCGTTTGCTGTTAAAACCAGCTAGAAAAAAATTTCATAGCGTGGAAGTGATGGCTTCCATTTTTAAGAAGTTGTGAAATAGGAGTAAACAAGCAACAGACTAAAGAAACGCTATGGGGCTCATACACCCTAAAATGTTTTTATGTGGCTCCGTGGAAATTTTCCAGTTCTAGTTTAGTTAATGGAGGAGCTCTACTCTTTTCATCACTCATTCATATACCTAAATAATCACCATAGGTTTTGGAGTGATGGCTCTGTGGTTACGAGCACTAGCAAGGTTCCATTCCCAGGACCCCTGTGCTAGCTAACAACTGTCAATAACTCCAGTTTTGGGGGATCTGACACCTTCTGTGGGTACAAGGCATATGTACATAATTTTTTAAATAATTTTTTAAAGCCATCATAGATGACAGTATCTTCGTTGCCTCCTGAATATGTCACAGGAGTGCCAGACACAGAAAACATTTGCATTAGGAAGTATAACAATGCAAAGGTTTTCCTCTTTAAGAGTGGAGAAGGATTCATTACCTTCAGGGGTCAAGGAAAGCAGGAGGTTAAAGTGGACGGGAATGTCTCTGGGCACACTCAATTTGTACTATGAAGTGGAAGCTAAAGACAGAGGAAGGATATATCTGTATCAATGTTTTAATATAAAAATCTCCCTCTGAAGATGCCCACCTTTCTTTGTAGTTACCGAAAGTACTGATTGTGAGTGTTGAATACAATTTAGACCAGCTTTGTGCTTGTCTTGAAGAACTGCTTTGAACATGTCAGTGAGCCATATGATGTCACAAGTTTTAGAAATGTCAAGCCATTCGTTAAGTGTATATGCATGTGTGTATATTTCTCAAAATGAAATTGTATTTTAGACATACTATCACATTTGCTGTTTAGTCTTATTTTTTAAAATCTCAAAATTAGCCAAATTATTACAGTACAGTTTAACTCATTATAATCTCTTGTCCCTGGAGAAAATGGTAAAACCTCTGTTGCTATAAATAGACAAAAGTCAACTTAGTAAACCTTTGTGTGCTTTAGTGTCTATTTGCTGTGGTGAAGAATAGACAAAGTTAAGAGAGTTTGTTGTGCCCGGCACCTCATGTTTGGTAAATAAAGGCAGTCAAGGAGTACTAATTAATTATATTAATTAATGTATACATCAGTTATATTAGACAATAATATGAAAGTTGAGATGTTCTCCCTGGGTTAATTGTGGCCCATAAACGTGTCACTGGGCAGTGAAGTGTTTTTGGTCCCTAAAACTCTTTGCTCCATTGCTTATCACATTGCTATTTTGATGTCAGAATTCCTCAGTTCATGTATTTTCTTAAGCATCTTTAGCATGCTAGTAGTTAATTTTCATGGTGTTTTCTTGTTCCTCCAATTGTTGAGAAGCTAGACAGTGACTAGAGCTAAGGGGCAGTGTGTCCCTCTCCCATGCTTTCTGAGAGAACAGTTTTACTCCATCATGTATTCCAAGGAAAATGAATCAAATCCAGTTTTGGGTCTAATTAATTGAAGTAAAACTGATAAAAACTGACTTTACTTGGTTTTCAAGGTCTATGCCTTGTTAGAGTGGCATTTAGATGTATAATTTTGGAGGAAATGTTTACTTTGATTTTGCATATTTTGCTTATTTTGGCTCTTGTTTGATTACAGTTTGCAGTGTTGATGTGGGTGTTTACTTACGTTGGTGCCTTGTTCAATGGCCTGACATTGCTGATTTTAGGTAAGCCTACAAAAAGATTGAAAAGCACTTAGAGACAGTTTGGTAGAGAACATCCTTATTGTAAGGAAAAAAATAATGTGGCTGGGCATGGTAGTTCATGTCATTGATCCCAGCACTTGAGATGCAGAGGGAGAGAGGAAGAGAGGGGGGGGGAGGGGACAAGGGAGAGAGGGAAGCGGGGGAGAGAAAATATGAAGTTGAGGTTGTGAGGTCTTTAAGTAGCTGATCCAGGTACTGTTTTATTGAAATGCTGTATTAATTCCAGTTGATCTGCCTTACCTGAGGGCACACTGCTGAGTTTACATGGGAGTACCTGTGTTCTATAAAAATCTGTGTGATTTGAAGCCAAGCATAGTTCCTCAGCACATGTTGGAGAATGAGCATTTCCAAGGCCTGAAGAGCTACCCCTTACCCTGATTGCTATGGCTTGACAGCATGACATTTACGGTCAGAATGATACCCGTCTTTCTATTTTTATTTTTTCAGCTCTGATTTCACTCTTCAGTATTCCTGTTATTTATGAGCGGCATCAGGTAATTTCTTAACTGTAAACTGCAGAATAGAGAGCTCACTCTTACTATATAGGACTTAGAAAGGAGCTAGTTTCCAAACATGGTCGTCCGGCTTTAAGTTGTTGTTGTGTAGTGATGGTTGATGTTCTTTGGCAATGGTAGTTTTGTAATGCGTTCATCCTCTCTCTTAGGCGCAGGTAGATCATTATCTGGGACTTGCGAATAAGAGCGTGAAAGACGCCATGGTCAAGTAAGTGCACTTGCAGCTTCTCCACCAGGGGCCAGGGCGGCCCCTGCCGCCTCAGCGCTGGCAGGGCTCTTCCTCCCGAGCGCCAGCATTAGCGCGCCAGACACGTGCTTTTTAAGACAGTGTTAGGCAAAGGTGAAAAACTGCGGCTTGTATACTGGTAGCTTTACGACTCTCTAAATAATATATGGCATAGCATTTTTTAAAGAAGCAAAAACCAAACCAAAACAAAAAACCCTCCAAAAAATGATATTTTTCTTTTCATTTGTAGAATCCAAGCAAAAATCCCTGGATTGAAGCGCAAAGCAGAATGAAAAGGCCCCAAACAGTAGGAATTCATCTTTAAAGGGGACACTCTTTTGATTAAGGGGGTGGGCGGGTCAGGGGTGAGCCCTCGGCAGCGGTGCAGCTTCAGCTCTTTATTTTAGCGGTGCACTGTTTGAGGAGCAGTTACCTGTCTTGACTTCCTGTGTTTTTATCATCTGAAGTATCGTAAGCTGCTGTGTATGGATTTAAATTGTAATCACACTTGTTTTCCCTGTATGAGGCACTGGGGAATAAAGTGAGCTGGGAAAGCTGTGTATTTTATTTTGTTGCAGGTAGTCTTGCTGTATTTGGGAAGTTACAAAGAAGGTAGCTCTGGGGGGAAAAAAACTTTTCACAGTGTACTGTGTTTGGTTGGTGTAAATTGATACAGATTTTTTTTGAAATGAAATGTTTAGATAAGATCATACTATTAAAGCAGGAATGAAAATGCTGTCTTGATGGTATGTTCTAGGTGTATTGTGAAGTTACTGTTATTGCCAATATAAGTAAATATAGACATAATCTATATATAGTGTTTCACAAGCTTAGACCTTTAACCTTCCAGCTGCCCACAGTGCTTGACCTCTCAGTCGTGGGTTATACAGTGTAGTCCCAAGCACATAAACTAGGAAGAGAATGTATTTGTAGGAGCACTACCATCTGTTTTCAAGGAAACTACATACAACTCCAGCCTAAGTGTCATTTCAAAGACTTACTGTATGTATAGTTAATTTCGTCACAGACTCTGATTCTGTGGACTGAATTTAATGCTTCCAAATGTTTTCAGTTATCAAACATTATTATGCAAGAAATAATAAAACAAGCTGTACTGAATTATCTGTGGAATGCATTGTGAATTCTAAAAGCAAAGTATCAATAAAGCTTACAGACATGCTGTATCTGCTTAGTGTTTTGACTTCCTGAATGCACCGCAAAACACAGTGGGTGGTAGGCTGTTTAGAAAGTGAACAAGTAAAATGAATAAAGTGTAATTAATAAAAAATAAAAAAAAAGAAAGTGAACAGGTGGCGACGTGCTTTGAGAAAGGTTTTACTTCTTTTTTTTAATTTATTTATTTTTATTTTATGTGGGTTGGTGTTTCCCCAGCATATATGTCTGTGTGAGTTACAGGCAGTTGTGAGCTGCCATGTGAGTGGTGGGATTTGAACCGGATTTGAACCCAGGCACTCTGGAAGAGCAGCCAGTGCTCTTAACCTCTGAGCCATCTCTCCAGCCGTCAGGTATTAGTTCTTGAAACAGCTTAAGAACAAAGAACGCTCATACATAGTGAGATTTTATTTGACCAATAACAAAAGGTTTTAAATTATTTTATACTTTGACTGAAAATAAACTCATGCACCAATATCTTAACAGAATACAGTGCAAGATTTATGAATATACATAAAATTACATTATATAAATTTTACAAATAAGACTTTCAAAGTCTTTGTAACAGACACTATTGCTCTTTAGATATCCATGTACATATGTCGTGATTAGTCAGTTGTTCATCCACATGAGTGTTTAAATGCGAGATCTGGTCAGAATGAAAAGTCAGTAGTACAAGATAGGCAGACATGGCTATCACTCAGCGTCACCAGTTAGAGAAAACACAGTTAGGGCTGCATAGGGCCTCTACTGAGGGCCCCACAACCTACTAGTGGATTAATGTAAGGCATTAATAAATTGGCATGTAAAGTAGCTTAATGAGTAATCTAATCCTTTTGGAATGCCGAAGCCCTTCTGTGGTAAATGTTAATCTATTCTTCAACTGAGATGCTCATGTCACCCTTTTTCTAGATTGACAGTCTAGTCTTTAATTGAGATGCCCATGTCACCCTTTCTCTAGATTGACAACTGCAGGTAGCTGGGAACTCAGGGTCCAGAATTTCAGTGCCCTGACTGGGAGGACTCGGTGGTGTGTGTATCAGTGACTGACTCCCAGGTCCCACCAGCCTTCTTCCCGTGAGTCCCTCTGTGTAACAACTGAGGGGCGAACATTTTCCAAGTAACATCCTGTACCACAACTGACTGAAGAAATTCAAATATTTGTTCAGAAGATTTTTAAAATCTGGGTTTAGCCTACACTAATCACCTGAAACGAATGGAGCCAAGCCAGCCCTACCCAAGGGCAAACACGGCCTTTTAGCAAGGCAGATCAGCTTGGACATATTGGAGCTTTTCCTCCTTGACATCTGGTTGAAGTTGCTTTGTTTGAAGGATGACTTAGGTTAGGTTAAGGATTTGGCACTAACATAAAATCCATGCTACTTCCTATGGAATTGATGTTCTTTGCTGCTCACCTTCCTTATAACCACTTTCCCTGAGCAGGGACATAGGTGACGAGTCTGCTAATCCCGTAGCCCTCCTCAGTTTTGAAGTTTTAGCACCATGTGTAGAAAGGAGATGATGTGGGAAGTGAGGCAGCAGCCCACAGAACTGGAAACTTTCAAGGCACTTAATGGATATAAAACTGCAAAATGAAAAATTAAAAAATTAAGTTTCTAAACTTGTTTATACATGGCTCATTTGGTTTTGAAAGCTAAATGTGGCAAACAGGCTATTTCTATACTTCAGTGCATCCAACTTACACTGACATGTCCAAGGAACGTTCTTGAAATACATAGAAACAGAATAGCAAAACATCTCTGTAAAAGTGGTAATGCAAATTAAAAGCTACATATTGGTTAGGGTAACTGAGGCTGTAAATTTTGTCAGTGGGCTACATCAGGATTCCATTGTTAGTGTAGTTTGCTACTAAGTATAGGTTCCAGTCTCCAGAACAGAGGCCAACAGCCTTAATAGTGTAGGACTTTACCTTTCTTCTTGGTGTCACCATATTACAAAGTCCAGATTGTGAGAGTCCTACAACCTCAGTAGCATTCAGAGCTTGCCGCCACAGCAGTCAGCGTGGAGGAGGCTCCTCCCACACTGCCTTCAAGTAACTGGGGAGAAGCAGCCATAGGACACGAGATTCTGGCATTTACAGGCATTGCCACACAAACACACTGAAAAGCAGATCAGATATTTTTGTGTGGTCAGATACTATAATCTTGCCAAGCGTCCAAACACAGTCTTGTCAAGTGCTCAAGATTTCAAAATGTAAACCAGTGACTTCCATCTATTGTAGCCTCCCCTCCTTCCCAGTTTTTATTTTATTTTATTTGTAAAGGTTTGTTTTGGGGACAGGGTTTTCACTGTGTAGTCATTGAAGGTGTGAGGCGCCATGTCTGGTTTACTACTCTTTTTAAGAGTTCTTTGATGTGTGTCTGCTTTGGCTCCCTTTGCTGCCTTGAACATTTGTGCAGAATGACGTCACTGGGACTTCTGGCAGCCTGACCTCACACTACCTGCCCTGTTCCTGTTGAAGAGGTTTTACCAGTACTATTTGAATGAAGCCCCCTTACGTGGCATACACCTCAAGCCCACTCACAAGGACCTCAAGGTTACTTGTGAGTCTTGTTGGTAAACAGAAGTCACCTTTTTGTATTTCCTGTACTGGGGTGGCCAGATCATTTAGGTCTCTTCCTCCCAACTTGTCCTGTGTGACCGGTACAAGGACCTGGTGTCACTACCATCCCAAGCGTGGTAAGTACCCGGCAGAAGCTGGCACTGTGGGCTGCTGTGTTCTTTATAGGTGCCTGTTCTACTGCTTAACGCAGACAAATGAAGAATATCAAAATTTATTTTTCAATGTTTTAAAATTAATTGAGTACATGTGCAAGCTCTACAGCATGATTGTGGAAATAAGGACAGTTTTCAGGGGTGGATTCTTTCCACCATTTAGATTTAATCATAGGGACTGAACTTGGGTCATCAGGCTTGTTACTCCTGTCTCTCTTCTCTCCCCACCCCCGGTGTTTATTAAACAAACAAACAAAAAAAAACATTTGGTAATGTAATAAAACATTTGAATATGTCAAAATTGAGTTATCACAGGATGACCCAGTCCTGCTTCAGAAATGGAGGAGGGTACCGGCCTGTGGGTCAGGTTGGAAGGGTTCCTTGTGAAACAGTGGCTTCCCAGCCATGTAACCTGCCCATTGCACCATGAGGACAAAAGCTGCCTTGGCTACTTGTCCAAACGGCTGGTTGAACTTGTGCTACTGACCAGCCCTAGACCTAATCGCCTCCCATTCCTCATGTTAACGTGAGGGCAGCGTTTGCCTCAGTTGTTTGTTTCTTAGTGTCACTGAAAGCTCAGGGTCAGTAACATCTTTAAGCTTCTCTTGGCTGTAGTGATACATCTGAAAGACACCAGCACAAACTGATGATTCTTAAGGACACGTGGGTGAAGGTCAACTTAACCTGATTATTCTCAGTGGTCGTTTCTACTGTAGTTCGCCATTCTAGATTTCTTACTCTTTTCCTCCTCAGCCCCAGCAATGTTCAGAATTGCTATCGCATGACCTGAGCTCATCAATCCCAGGACAGCACTAGTGGGGGGCACAGGCCTGTCAAAATTTGTTGAGAACCCCAACAACAGAATACAGTAGGAAGTTCTTGTTTTTCCCTAAGAACTCAGAATTGCCTTTTCACTGTCCCACATCAGACTCTGGCAGAGCCCGACCCACAGTACTCCTCAGCTAGACAGAACCAGCCACCGAAATTGACCCGGGTACTACCTGCAATCATCTCCTCCGGTGCTGACGACATACTTGTCATCATAAGAGAAACGGATGTTTGTCACATGAGCAGAGTGGCCAAAGTAACGTTTATGCTTGGCCTGTGAGGAAAAGCAAATGGAAGCAGCTGAGCACCTGCTGTGTCTAGTAACTTGTCAAGTTACTGGTCCACCAGCTGCCCCACTCCCCGGAGCCCCTGCAGCTCTGAGTGGGCCAGCCACTGAGGAGAAGGGTGCCCACTGTGGCCTTGTACTTTCCCTTTCTCTTAGGCCTTTAGACTCTGTTCCCATTTACCCATGCTCAAGTCTCAGCAGTGAGCATGGCCCTTCAGGGTGCAATGTCAGCCAGCCTTTGGCTGATTTCCCTGCCTACTTCTTCCCCACTCCTGTGGCCATTTGTCCATCCACAACCTGGCTGTCCCTCCAGAGGGACATTACAAGGCTAGCCAAAGCCCCACAGGGCTGGAGCTGTGATAACTGAGGGTCATCTCTATAGGAGCATACTCAGAAAGACTCACGAATTTTTCTGTGCATGGAAAATCAAAGAGCTTCACCAGTCCAAAGTCATCCCCTGTGACAATGTTCAAGCCAGCACGGGTCACACATGCACAGTTGACATCTGCCTTGTCTGCATTTCGTGGCCAGATTCCAATGACTTCATCTCCTAGAACACTATTCCAAGAGGAAAAGGTGTTAGGAAGATTTGACAGGATTTGGCTTTATACCCTCCTAGGACTAAGAAGTAATAGGAATTTTACATGATTTGGTTATGTGGCTCCTGTCAGAGAACAGCCATCCCCTGCTGTGCATTTTCACCACCTTGTACTGTTCCTTCTCCAACCCCTTCCCCTACACTCCAGAAGGAAAACTTCATCTCTAGCTTTGATTTTTTCTCCCCTAAAGTCCTATTGTATTGCATATGTACGTATACAGAGACACACCACACACACACACTGACAAGGACTGGGCTTCTGCATCGTCTTCCTCCAGGTCCCTGGAAGCTTCATTGTTACTGGGCTTTGCAAGACATTTGAACTTGCTGAATGAGGCCTGGGGTTGATGTGAATGATTAGACAAAAAGGACTTGATTTACAAAGCACCGATCAGATAGGCCCGTGTCTGGCAGCTTTCCACCCTCACCCACTGAGAAAAGACAGTTTCATGTTAGCTCTTCCTGTCCTGGCCATCACAAACCCAGAGGCAGAGCTGGGACCTCTTCCTCAAGCACAGCTCTCTTCAGTCACCTTGTCCAGGAAGCCCACGTGATCTTCTCAA